AGCCAGGGGGCTAATTTCCACCCGCAGGGATGGGACAGGGAGCAGCAGAAGGAGGTCCTGAGGGCGGTGGGGCTGGGGGAGATCTGGGCTGCGTCCCGAGTGTAGGAGGCTGGTGGACCCAGGAGAGTGAGGGTGGATGGTCCTGCCTGATGCAGGGAGAAGACCTGCAACTGTGGGGCTTGGGAGCTATGGAGGGTCTTGGGGCTGGGGTGGGGGTGTCCACTGGGGCTCACTGCCCATGTGTCACCGTGTCATCAGATGGAGTATGCGAGGCTCTGGGTGTCTTTTTAGTATCTGGGACCCTGTGTCCAGGGCAGTGGGTCTGGTTCTCGGGGTAGAATGAGGCAGACTTGCAGCAGGAGGATGGAGGACAAGGCGTTTCCCTGCGCTAGAGCTAGGCCAGCGCCTGTCTCAGAGGAGTGTGGCCCCTGTGGCTGTTGTGGGGCTCCCACAGCACCTCTGAGGGGGGCGTTCCTTCTGAAGTTCCCCCCAGTGTCCACATCAGGTTCCCCAGCCAGGACTGTGCCTCCAGGGGGGGCACTGTCTCCCTGCCCCTCTGCCAAGCACCCTTCAGGCCTTGCCTGGCTTGCCCACCTGTGCCTCCCCACCACCCTCGCCGCCCCACCCCCAGGCCCAAGGCAAGTCTCCGCTGTCTCCCTGCATCCAGGTGGGCAGAGGCCCAGATACCCCCGCCTATCCATCACCCTCCAGTGACAGCCCCGGGCCTCAGCCTGCCCCCTCGTGCCCGCACCAGCCCTGCCGGAGCTCAGCCTCAGCCTCAGCCTCAGCCTCACCCCACCAGGCAGGGATCGTCTTTGCCCTGGAACATTTCACAGTCCGCCCTGAGCCTTGGGGCCTTCAGCCCCGACTCTGCTGGACTTACGGGGAAGTCCTTTTACTTAACAAGTGTTGCCTGAGCACCTACTGTGTCTTAGGTACTGATCTTGGTGCCAGGGACACAGCAGTGGTTAAAACAAAGTCCCTTCTCACAGACAGCTTCCTCTCAAGCAGCTAGCTTCTCTGGACTTCGGTGTCACCAGTTGGGCAAGGGAGTTACTCAGACAGTCACCAAAGATCTGTGACATCCCCATCAGACAGTGCTACTCCCTGATCACAGACGCTGCAGGACTCATGGCCCTTTCAGGTGAGCATGGGGAACAAGACGTGAGACAGGCAGGAGGGCAGCTGCAGGTGAGTGGCCAGGGCTCAGGCAGGTGAGGAAGGCCCAGCCCCATGAAGCCAGCCAGTGTGAGGCCCAGGGAGGCAGAGGGAGATGGAGGCTGTTAGCTGAGATCTGGGAAGGAGTGGGTGCTGGAGACCAGTTTCCAGTGCAGCCCAGCTCCCAGCCCCGACAGCAGGGCAGCCAAGGTCAGTGATCTGTCCATCTAACTATCCACCCGCCTGCCACCTGCCCTCTAGGAGTGCTATCTCCCCAAAGCAGCTGTCGAATCCCAGGGAGATACTCCAGGCTTGGGGACACCCTGAGCCCACCCTCCCAGGGTAGGGCTTAGAAAGGAAGGCACTGTACTTTCTGCCCACCTGCCTGCCTGGCCTTTCCTCCTCTGCTCAAAACAACAGCCACTTCCCCCTGTTTCACATTCTAATAGGTCAGCCAGCTCAGGTGGGCAACAGCTGTGGCCCAAACCAAGGGCCTGTGGCTGGCAGTATCTAGGTGGGTCTAGTCCCAGCCCCTAGACCAGAAAAGCATGCTCATCTTTCCAAGAACCTCAGGGAGGACGGACAGACAGATGCACACACCCTCCTCCCAGCATGCCCCACCCCTGTGGGTACCAGGCTGTGGGCACCGCACACTCACCCGGGAGATGGTGAGCGGCATATTGAAGTCCTTGCCCCCCTGCAGACGGAAGCCCCAGGGCCCAGGCCCCGTCAGGGTCACGCTGTAAGACATGATCCTGCTGACAGCGGTGGCCTCTGCGAACAAAGGAGAAGAGTAGAGTGAGGGGACCCTCGCGTGCCCTGCCTCCCCAGCCTGTAACTTGGTCCCTGCACCCGACCCCCAGCCTTGCCTGTGTCCCTTGCTGCCCGGCCAGGCTGTGTGGAGCTCCTGAGAGGCTCCTAAGAATAGCTGGGAACGAATGCCATCGACACTGATATCTGCCCTCTGCTGCGCCCATAAATGGACTGTAACCCTACACTGTGCCCGCCCGCCCGCGGTCTCCCAGCCCGTCCACTGTGACTCACGCAGCTAATATAGCCCCTGGAGAGGGGTGTCCGGCACCCAGCACCCCCCAGGGGGCAGGAGAGGGGCCTGGCCAGGTTAGTGATAATGCTCTTGCCTCCCTGCTCTCCTCTCCTTGCTCCCTCCACCCTCTGAAGAGCCTAGACTCTGCCCAGCCCCGCTCTCCGCCTGGCTGTACCCACCTCCTTGCCCGGAAGACCGTGGCTGAGCTCCCTCGGCCAGGGGCTTTGTGACTTGGGTCTTTGC